ATAAGAATGTGTATAATAATCTTTTATGAGCCTGGCGACACACAAGAAAAAGCCATCATTTGCATAATTAATATATTGATGTGCCCAAATGGGAATGACAAAATGAGAAATTAATAAAATAAAATTAAAAAAAGGAGAACGACGAGAAACGACAATTATTTAGTGTGTTCTCATATAATTTTCTTAATCAAGATTTAGCTTGATTTGCCGAGTAGCATTAAAATATTTGGACAGTAGTTCCATTAGATTTTAATAAAAATTTCCTATATTGGGTAAGGGAAATTGCAAGGTTATATAATACTTCGATATCTAATTATTATTCATGACCAATTCCAGTAGTGAATTGTCTTGATCTGCCGAAGCAGAATGCTGCGACAATTCTAATTTTTGTTATCAAGTTGGTTAAAACATATCCGTCTCTAGTATTGTTGCCATAAAGACTTTGTTGTGACACTCGAGCTTTAGTTTGAGTATTTAGCATTATTTATTTCATGCTTACTCAAAATTACTAATCAGTTCCTCTTCAGTTTAAAGGCACAAACAAATATTTTAACCTTTAATGCCTTCCTTACTTGTTTATCTTAAGACAGTTTAATAGACGAAACAACACAGACATAAACATCATTTCAAACGTGATTTTAATGTCCACTTACTTTTATTGCTGTCGTTGATGTCAAGATGAAACATTATATTTTATAGCTACCGATTTTATGATATCGATATGCCTTTTTCTGCTTCATTAAGTCGCCTTTTTATTAAGATTGGATTTTTTTTTTCACTTTTTATAGAACTTTTGGATCTGAAATGAAATTTGTTTCTCGACTTGATTCAATCGAAATTAGTGACTAATTTTTCCAATTCTTAAATGATTTATAAAGTCATTGGAATTGAAATAAATAAGAAATCGATTCATGCAAAAGTTTACACAAATTGTGGAGCTAAGGAGAGAATAAGAACATTGATGTCACGCACAATCATTTCATTTTAACATTAAAAATGCTTAAATGACCGTAAAGAGAATCGAATTATAGAACCAATATTCCATAATAATATAAAGTATTTCATTAAATGGCAAAATTGGATGTTTCCTGTCATCTTTCTTGTTTCTCATTTTCCCTTCTTACCTTTTTTTTTGTTCTTCACGTCCACGTAAACCACGAGATCAATGATTGAGAAATTATTATTGAGTATGAAAGAATAAGAGAGAAGATATCCATAGCGTGGCAATCAAATGCCTTCATATTCTCCTTTTCTTTCAGTTGCTGGTTTTGCTTGCTTGTTAATTTTCTTATTTTAATGGTAATTTTAATGATGATCATTTAATGATGAAGATTCATATGCTGCTTCTTCTTATTATTAGACAAGGTTGTCTTTAAAATAATTTTTTGGTTACTTGCATTGTTAATGCTTTGGGTGATTAATGGGGGAAGTTGATCAGCAGAGTTGGAAGTTCCTACAAAATCTAATTACTAATGAAGGTATAGGAAGGTATGTATATTTTAGAGATAAAATGTTTTGATTTCTTAGTCCTGATGCCTTGAAACTGACAAGAAGGGATCTTAGCATCTTAATCGGTGCTTTGACCAGACACATGAGTATCAATAGTTTTCTTGTTAAGCTCAATTTAAGTAATTCTAAATTTTGTAGGTTTTGTAGTACAGCTGAGGAGACCATGGCACACATTCTATGTGACTGTAAGACATTAAGTGATTTTCGGCATAAACACTTCAAGAAAGATGTTGTAAATATCGGCAGCATAAGGAAACATCGCTATTTGAACTTGGTGGGATTTATTAAGGACATTGAAATTTTATATCTGACTCTAAAGGGATGGTACAACAGATCTATGAACGCTGTGCCTTTTCGTGTATAACGAACCCTGTATCTAATTGTATCTTCTAGTCCTGATACGGTTTTGATCGAGGATACTGAACAGAATCGTTTTTAATAACTCAAAGATTTTATGATTATTTTACATCATTTTAACTCCAGCGGCATATAGGTAGCTATATCATGTTTTAGGTCTAATGATAAGTGTATAACTTCCTGAAAAGTATTTAAATACACAAAACCTAGCTTGAATGGAAGATGCTTCCTTATAATCAAGCTGGAAAAAAGATAGCAACGTAAAGCATGACTGAACCTATGCTTCGAAAAATAGTTCTAAAATTCCTCCTCTGTTGTTTTTCACCACCATTACTTCATAAGTCTCATGATAAAATTCTTCTTCATTGATGAATTGTAAGAGAAAGAAGAAAAATAATTTTCTCACTGATTTAAAGTAAATAGTCAGAAGTTTTAATTCCTTTGTGTATTTATTTCAATAAAATAATTTTTTTTCATCATCATCAATTTATGTGAACAAAATAAAATTGTGTACCGTAAAAAAAGTAGATCCAAGTCAGGCAAAAGCATGTTAAACTGTGGAATAATTTGAATTTTATATGGGAATGATACAGTTTGCTGTCTCAATAGAGTCGCTTAGCTAACCATCTAAAATAATGAGTGTTTGATTGGTAGAAGGCATGAAAAAAGTTTAGATTTTTGATTGAAGTATAACAAATAGTGAATAAATAAAGAAGCAAAAATAGCAGTAGACAGAAAAGGTACATCAATGGGTGCTATACGTGAAATAGTCGAAGAATATTTCTCCATCCAGTCTTATTAATGAGGTATGAAATTAATTTTCCTGATGTTTGATTTTCAATTTTTTCTCATCTTGAGCTAAAGAAATTTCGTGCAACAAAGAGAGGAGATCCACAAAATTGAGCTTTGATGATGTAAGACAAATAAATATCCACATAAAATGAGACTGATGCTCACTAAGAAATTGAGATTGTTGTAGGAAGGCGCATTTTTAGGTAAACAAAAAAACTATTTTATCTAGCTGATTAGGTGTTGATGTCTTAAACGATAAAACAGCAATAGAACATATTTGACTTGGATCTGACATTTTCTGACACACATCGAGGTTTTGACAATACAGTAGTGTGTCACGAAGCATCATTTGAGCAGCATTGCACCAGATTTAAACTAAAGCATACTTGGTAATGCTATGCTACTGCCAACTAGCTGCCTTTTTATTTTAAGTTTCCGCCTAAGAATACTGATTGATCTAAGATTAAAAATCAGCCACACAGTCAAAATAAACTTAAATGTTTTATATCCAAACTTATACAGCTCATCAAAAGTGTATCATTATGAATCGTAAATGAAGCGAAGAACTCGCGACGTGATACATTCCGGTCGGTTGATGAATTATGCTGTGGATTATGGAATTTTTCTTATGTTTTCTTATTCCGAAATAAAATTCCACCATTTCGTTCAGGTGCCACTTGATACTTATTTATTTTTACTTCTCTTTCTTTTTTATATCCATTATAATAAAACATGATGTATGCGTGAAAAATTACCAAAATAAGTTCTTTGTTTTCTCAATATCGATTGATTTATTTGGACTGTTTGATTTCCAAATTAATTTGTGATTTGTAGACGTTTATAAATTTGGAAGAAAAATGGAATCAAAAATTACAAAAGCAGAAGAATGATCCAACAAAGAATCATTTGAAATATAAATTGATGGTTTTTATTTGCTTGAAAATGCTGACTTTTTGAACTGTTATAAAGAATATGAAGCATAGTTCCACAGCTAGATCAATTGCTGGACTGACCACCAACTTTAGCATTTTAAGCCTTAAAATTAAACCAGAAAACAGGATATTTCTACAATAAGTGAGTCAATAGATACATACTTAAGCACCATCTTACAAAACTCAGCTTTAAATCCATAAATCAAAACGAGTCCAAATTAGTTAAGCTTTAAACAAACCATTACAAAGTAAGAGGCAGCAATAAACCTCATTTTCCCGTTTGTTCTCCATCCCGATACAATATTGTACCCCCAACGATAGTCATCACATTAATATTGCTATCAAATTAGTAAGTAAATATCCATGAAAAATATATTTCTTAATAAATGGGATTTTATGAAAATTTGCAGTAATTGACTCTTTATTCGTAATCAATAATGCACCTGTTTGAACTCTGAAAGAAACTCATTAGAGATTAACAAAGAAGCATATTTCAGATGAGCAGTGAACGGTGAATAGACAGTACACATACAGCACGAAGAATAAGTCTGTACGCATTTTATGCTTGATTAATTTTTTACCACATTTTTCTTGACATAAATTTTTATTAAGTTGGATGATGTATGTGTATGCAGACAATCCATAGTCATAATAAATAAGCGATGACGATGAAGACGACGCTAGTGCTGCAAAAGGTAGGAATGAATAAAAACAGGTGTAATTTATTCAAACACTGCATATAACTGAAAGACGATTTATTATTCTCAACATTTTTTTTTTCTTTTGCTTTTTTTTCGTTAAAGCACGTGCTGTTTGTTAATGAATGGAACTAGTAATTTACACATATATTACTGATGCATGCATATTCAATTTCAACTCTTTTTTTGTATGAAAAAAATAATATTTATTTTTCTTTTCTTTATTTTTTCAAAATGCAGCATTAGACTTTTCTTCTCTTACGCCGAATAATGTTCAACATAAATACACATTCATAATATTTATAAATGGAAATGAAGTAAAGCCTCGCGGACAATCTAAATTGAAGTACAATTGAATGTTAAAACAAAAGGTTGAAAATTGGCATAGCTAAATATAGTTTTGAATGTATAACAATGAAGAAATGAGGTGATTCTTTGGATCGAATGGATTTAATACACATGTTCCAAAAGCAATAATAGTCTTTAAGGTATCATGTTTTTGGGCTTTCAAATGGAATATTTAGGTATCGACGGTCAAAAAATGTATCATTTCTCCATCCGTCCCTAGGAACTCAGATCCTTTGTTAACTCTAAAAACTCCACAAATGATTATTTTTTTCAGTTATTTATTTCAATTTAATAGCAACTTATAACAAATTTATTTATTCAACTTTAATTCTTTTCACTTATCAAAATAGAAGTTAATGTTAATATGCTTTCAAAATGAAAATACGATACAAAATGTAAAAGCTTATATTATTCCAAAATAATGCAGCACAATTCACTCTAATATTTTAAACATTTTCTCGTAAATCCTTTGACCAACTTCAATGTTGTTCAAAAATATCCAGTTCATTAAATCTTCAGAATTTTCACATTTGACACTTAAATCTAAATTTTGTGTAAACAGGATATGACCTTGAACTTTTCGAATTAATTGCCACTTGTTATTTTCAAAAAGGTTTTTAATGAATTCTTTGTACGGTCCATATATAGGCGTAGTGCATGCAACAAAGAGATTGCTTAAAGGTCTTAGTAGGAAAAAATCTTGTAGTTCCTCCCATGAGCGTTTATGTTCAATATAGAAGTCAGCCGTAATTTTGAAAATCTCAGGATTCTTAATGCTCAAACATTGAATAAGTGGCGGTGAGACATCAGGATGAGTATCAAATAATATCTTGTTAATTAAATAAAAGCTGCAAAGTTCCTTGATATTTTCGTGAATAAAACTTAAAGCTTCTGGTGTGATGTGATTGTAACAGACCCTCAATAAACACTTTTTTATAAAGTCATCCCTTGATAATGAATCTCTTAATCTTGCAATTGTTTCAACTTGGATGATTCCATTATAACATGTTATCTGATCAAAATCATTTAAGAATCTCTGCTTAGCTTCAGTTTCGTTGCTGTTACGATAGATTTCACAAATCTTTATTTGTTCGATGTCATTATATTCTCCTTCTAAGTCCTTAATTTCCTTGTGCGTCAGCAATTTTGCAGAAGATTTATTGAACTTTAAATGCCAATCCGGACCGAGTGAATCTGTTACTGCATTTATGAAAGTACATGCGTCAGTCTCCATCCAGCCTTTGAGAACAAATTCATCGAGTAGATTCACATACTCATCAAATTTGAAGAACTTATTCATCATCTCTTCATCCAATGACATGAATATTGCGAAATTTCTTAAGAGGTCTTTTGAAGGATATGCTGAGTTGGTGGGATCACGAATTTCTCGAAGATTGTCGTAAATAACTCGCTTCACTTTACCACAAACTTTCTTACCATATCCAAATAACTTAAAGTAGCTGATCAAAAAGTTACAGCATATTTTGTTACTTTTAAAGTTACACATTATTCTGATAAAAAGACTGACTATAGACTTAATTTCTGCTTTGTCCATATCCTCGTTATCATCAAATAGGAAATTGATTATAAATTGTGCAACAAAAAATTCAGAATAGCTTTTATGCACAAAACGAACAGAGCTGATGTCATCAAAATTTCCATGCATGTATCCATAACGTTGTATTACATCTGATGTCCAATTTTTTCGATCCTTTTTCCATTTCTTAACAATCGATAATAAATCCAGTTTCATATTTGGGAAACTTTTAATTAGTGCTACAGCTCGATGAACATCCCAAATGTTTATCAAGGAGTCATTGTCACGTTCCAAAGAAGGTATTTTGAAGGAAGCCTTTTGACTTTCTAACATGTTCGCAAAAATTTCAAAGTAATTGTCTTCGCTTAAAGATATCGAATTTTTGACTCGATATTCTGTGATTGACTGAATCATGAATATGTTGTCAACATCCTTATCTGATCCTAAATTACTCATGAAATAAAGAACATCACCTTTTATCTTATTCTGCTGATCCTTGTAGAAAATTCCATAAAATTCCAAAATACCTTTTATAAATAATTCTTTGTCTTCTTGTTTAAGTGGAGCAAATTTGAATTCATGTTGTTGCTTCAAAATCTCTTTAGAGTTTGATGACATATTCGGTCGCGTTGATATCCACAGCTGATTTCTATAGTCTGATCTCCATGTCAAAAACTCAAAAAGTTCTTTTAAAACATTTGTACAAGATGGGATGATTTCATCAATTCCATCAAACAACAAAATAACCCTTCCATTTGTAAGTAGCTTCCTGAATATTTTGGCTTCAAATTGTGACGTGATTCCAATGCAGTGCAATAAAATTTTAAACGAATCATTTGGGCATGTCTTATCAAGTTTCTCGAAATAATTCCTTTGTTCATTTAATCCAATATATGAGACCCAATGAAGTCTACTTTGTTGCTTTAATTTAGCTGCAAAATCCATAAAAGAAGCTGATTTTCCGGAACTAGCTTGGTCTGACAAAATAAAAACTTTCGAATGTTTTGTTTGATCTTTGATGTCTTTAAATGTAAACTTCACATCTTCAGAGTCAATGTAGTGATAAGACCTAAAATCCAGTTCTTCATGCACAAATTTTCTCTCTACAAAAGGATATTTTAGGTTTAATTCACAAACTTGACCAATCTTCATCATTTCTTTATTTTGTAAAAGTTTCTGAATATTTTCACCAGTCAGTTCCTTCAGAATTTCTAAGTCATAATCAATCAGCTCGAACAATGTCGTTTGAATTCCTTGAAAATTTATGATTGATCGCAAAACTTTTTTCTTTGTGAATGACAAAAGATCCTCAAATTTAGTATCACTCGCAACACTTCCTATCGGCTCTGAAATGCATCCACCCATCTTTAGAGTAGTTTAATCCTTGATTTTACAATTTAAAATTATTTAATTATTTAAGTCTTACTCTCGCAATAAATTTCTTCGAACTGATTAGGAATAGAGAAATAGAATTATTTAATAAGTTTGTTCCAGGAATGAATCTCAAAAACAAACAAACTTTATCTGAGTCATTTCAGAAACTTTATTTGTTCTTCGATATTTCGAATGTCGTCTATGTTTACACTTTTAGAGTCACAAAATTTGAATTGATCTTAATCAAATAATTATACAAATATAATCTACATAATTTGATATACCAAGAGAGTAGCTGGAATTTTTTTAGAGTCCAGAATAAATGTTTTTTAGAGTTCTAAGACGACTTGAGTTGGCGCATCAGCTTTAATATTGTGAGATATCAATCGAAGTCGTGTTTGATCCTTAATCCTTTTTTTGGTACATTAAAAAAATTCAAACATAATTTTAGCATTTAAATAGGAAGGCAGTCTGTGTGCTGTCAATAACAAAGAATTTTAAATGAATGAACAATGGCAACAATCATGCTCAAAGTCAAATATTCCATAACAAGCAGCTTCAGTCACACTTAAAATTACTATAATGTGACAACATGCCATGTCACATATTTACTTTCATGACATCCGTATAAACAAATATTTTCATAGTTTATGCTTAGTTTAATATCTTTCCTTTATATCTGAAAATCTACATTTCCTTCATTTCCCCTTTGACTAAAATAATAGTCGACAAAGAAATAAGTCAGCAATCTAAAAGGGTAGATTAAATTAACTCGATAAAGAATAATTGTAGGTTTCCAGCTATCTATGTCAAATGCTACAAAATACTTAACGACACGCATATTCATGACTCAAAAAGTGGAACTGACCATAAGAAATAATTTTAATCACACAGCAATTTATCAAAAAAAAAATTGACCATAAAAAATCTTTAATTAGTCAACGCAGCATGAAATGGACATAAATTGACAGCGATATGAAAAATTACAATCAATTTTAAGCGTTCTTTTCCAATTTCATGTGACAATGAGAAATAATTTATCAAGAAATATACAGGCACAAGAATTGGAGAGAATGAGAATGAATAAAAATACGTCAAGACATTTTATTCGTTTCGCGTTGATAAATTATAAGCAATCTATAAATGAGTAATGTCTATACGTATGTATAAAGTTTTTTTTAGAACGTCCAATTGAAATCCCATTTATGTTATTATAGCGTATCCGTAAGAGATGAGAGAGAGAGAGACCAAGATGAGACCACATACTGATGCTGACTAATAATATACGTTGCAAACATTATTGACATGACGTCGTGGGAACATTGTTGGACTTAACTTGACTAAGACAGAATATTGGACTAGGCGAAAAATTCTGATATGCCCATTGGATCACAATGAGACGAGAATATATATATACACAGTTTGTCTCCATGCCACACCACATCTAATTACAGCCATAAGCTCACCATTCTTATTGATTGACGAGAGAGACCAGTATGAGACTGTATATGTTATGTTGATATTGTTACCTAGTGCTTTTCACATTCGGAGATATAAGAAGGTCGGCTTAAGTTCACAAATCGAAATTGAAGCTGAGATCAAACAAGAAGAAGAATGTTCTTGATTATCGAAAATTTTATATTTATAGAGAGAGAAAAAGAGAAATATGGGAAAGAAGACAATAAATGATTCTGGATTTTTGTGAATTAATTGAAGTACTTAGAGCGCTATTTTGGTTCCTCGTATCTACTAAAGTTTCTTAGGATTCTAATATGTTTTAATTTGCATCTTTAGCTTCATTGCATAGTAAGATATTACAGGACTAGTAGAGCCTTAAAAAATGGATCACTATGCTCCGCTGGATCGAAATGGCTTGTATTTGCTTACTAATAACTTAGACATCATGACATCCTATAAACTCCAAGCTCTAACCCAAACCATTCCAAAAATCAGTGCTAAGAGTGTGTAATTGTGATAAATGTGAATGTATATTGATAAATTACACAGCAGGGACCGATTGGAATAAAAATCCGTCACGTTAATGGCATCAATCGAAGTTGATTTCTCACTGGCTATGACCAAAAAAATATATTTCATCTCATTTATCTTCTCGCTGATGTTTGTAGTTTTTCTGTGAAGCATATCTAGGGAAAATATTTTGTTTGTTGTGGCTGGCTGTAAACATAGAAATTGTTTATTTGTTTAAGATTCACACACAGCTTAAAGTAAGTCAGTAGCTAAGCCAGGAAGTTAATGTCATAAAAATATTATTTCCAGTTGACACTTGTATGTCAAAACTTCTTGTTTTTTATTGACGAAGTCGTTGGTGGTCGTTTCTCGCGACTTACTCATAAAACAATCCGGCTTTTGCAGAATGATGCATTTATTACCCAATAATTCCTTTAATTCACACTCTGCTCTCAGTTATACGCGATATTATATGTCGTACTGGAATTTAATGTTGCAAAACTTGTCATAACATTTTTATAGGCTTGAACACACAAACTCAAATGTGCAGTTGTAAATATTATCTTTTTCTTGCACTAACTTCCCAACAAATGATGAAATGAAATGTGGAATTCAGTTATGCAGAAATCATAAAAGTCGGTGAATATTTTTTTCATTTTATGACTTGAGTGCGTGGGAAAATGCATGATATTGAGGAAGCTATAGGAAAGTTTTATAAACAGGAAGTTTCATCAACTTCTGGTTGAAGATTGTTAAATTCTTCTTAAAAAATATTAGAAAATATTAAAAATTCGTAGATCCTTCCTAAAAAATGGATCCTGGCTTCGTTCCTATCCCCGTTATAGCGCATCAACTGCAATACCTATAATAAAATTACAAACACAACGGCATTCAATGTCATCAACTCTCTTAATATCAAAATGACTCATAGAACGTGCTGCAAAACTGGAACTCGATTCTTGATTATCATAAATCCAGTTTTTATGTTACACATGATTATTACACATATCGACATAATTATACGAATTATTGCAAATATTATTATGATTATCATTAAAATGATCTTGAAGGCAAAACATAAAAAGAATTGATTATTGAATAATTATTGGAATTAAAAGCTCATCATCTACTGATATAAAAATGTTTCAGCCAAACAACATCGCACTTGATTTTATGGACGTGCCGTTATTGAGACTCATAACAATGTAGTTTTTATGGCTTTACTATGAAATAAATTTTACAGTTTACATTTGATGGAAGTTGATATGAGCATGGAAGCTGAAAGATGTATAGTAAATGGAAGTGTTGAAAAATGATTAGCAAAGTTGCAGTAAAAATCTTTATCTTAAGTTAATTGTAAAGATTAATATTCGGTTTGTGAATTTTTATAGATGTAGAAGTATTTTTATGTACAATCATAAATGAGAATTTAATAGAGTTCAAGAAGGTTGCTGGTCACTTTCAAATTGTGATTTTGTCTTCCTTCAAACTTCAGATATTCTCACAAACTTGATGATGGTCATCAAAAGCTAATTTACTTAAAGGAGCTAGTTTAGCTCCTAACAGGGGCGTAGCTAGAGAAAACACATTGAAATTTCCAAAAACCACTTCGTTGAACATTTTTTGGCTACGCTCCTATTTTCGACCTGACTTAGTTAAGAAAATTAAGAACATTTCTCTAAATCCCAATTTTTAATCTAGCAAATTAAAATTTTCCCATTTCAAATTCAACGCACTTAAAGATGCTACAAAAGTCACGACTGTATATATATTGCATTACATTTCTTTCATTCAGGCTCAACTTACGGAAAATCTTACATGATGCACAATAATTTGCACAAAATAAAGCATTTTACATCACTTACGTAATTACTCATTCCAATTATTTCTGACACTTAATTTGACACAAAAAATGGCATTTAATCGTCACAATGAGAAGGAATAGACAAGACAGGGCAGAGATCTTGATTGCCATTTTCGGATTAATTTGATTTACACAAAAAGCGAGGCATATGGTAAGTAGAAGATGAGTAAATGAAACATGAACGAAAGAGAATCCCTCCTCCCAAATGCCATCACACACAATTATTGTGTATCTATAATTTGCGATATACTTACTTTATATATATATTTTTTTTTTATAAATTCTGTTTTTTTTACGTTTTCTTTTCTTCTCATTCTATCAAGTATGTCAATGTGTTCCATTTTTAAGACGCTGTCAAACAGATGCTTTAAGTGTTTTTCGGATGCATTTTTAAGGTGAAATAAAGATTGTGTTGTTACAAGCAGTTTGTCAGTTAGAGGCTTCAAAATGATGTTTTGTTCTTGGTTGGTGCTCACTAATGATGCCTCTTTTACGAATGGAGATAGTCTAACATAGAGTACTATTTCCATACTATAGAAAAAATTGTGTATTTAATTAATTTTAATTTAAAAAATAACATCCAAAAAATCTTAAAATGCTTCCTTTACAATTAATTTATGAAGTCATCTCAACTTGTGATTTTATTTCGCTGCAATAAATGCAATGTGCAATTTTTTGTGTATCAAACGTTTACTTGATTGCTGGTGCTGCTACTAATGCCACTTTATATTTTTCAAAATAAAATAAAAACACAGCAAATTAAGCTGAGAACTATGAGAGTAAGGAACAACGAAAAAAGCGAGAATAATAGACAACACAAATCACTTAAAAACATTTAATGAAACTTACGTTAGATTGTCTTAAGAGATATATCTCACTCATGGATTAATTTTGCTGGAGCAGGAGGAGAGAATCTACACACAAAAAAAATGTAGAAAAAAAAGATTTTTTTAAAACGCTCAGAAACGCCCAATCAATTAAGTTTTTAGAAGGAATCTACACACATCATTTTCAAAGTCATTATTTTTAGTCCGCAACTCACTTGAAATATTTTATTATTTTTTTTCGTTTCTTTTCTTATGATGATGCATCCTTCTTAAATGCATCTTACATGTCATTTGTCAGAATGAATTGTTGCTTTTAAATTGAAGTTTTTTTATTCATTTTCTAAACAAAGATGCAATTTTTAAGGAGATGCTAATATTTTTGAGTAATAGGAAATTTTGATGACGCTTT